CAGTCAGCGCTTCTCTCGAACTGATCTATCTGCAGCAGATGTCGCCGGAAACCATGGATACTGGTCGACTTGCGATTCTGCACAGGCTCTGGCCGGAACAATGCGAAACAAGCTGTTTAGATCAAGGGTAGCTCTTCGGAGGAAGCTTTCTCCTCCCTCCATCGATCACCTGAGGTGACGAAGCTTTTCTCACTATCGTGCAATCTGAGAGTGTCTATTGATTTATTCTGGTCTTCATCCTCGTACAGACTGGCCGGCCTGATGTGCCTTTCATGATTTCATGAATTCGTTGTTGGAGCTTGTCTCGCACATATGTACTGCGCTCTTAGCACTCCATAATTCACATCCTTTGAGTCACGGTGATTGTGGAAGATTTCTTTGCTTGTGTTAATGCTATTGTCGACATCATTTCATTGTTGCTTCCGACTCGCTGACCTCTGAAGACAATCAACTCTACCCTTTGTTCTTCTTCCAGAAAAGCCTTTGCCTGCATCAAAGAACGAAAGGACAACACCTCTCCCAATTGAACAGATACACCTCCCTCATATTCGGTAGAGTTCCTCGCCTACTCTGCAACTACTGAGTGGTCAAAACTTGCATCAACAACAGTATAGTATCCCTACATACTTTGCAAATTAACTGAGCCCGCGAGTCGGCATTCCCGGCCATACTATACGCAGTCCGGTGTCATGGCTTCTCGGAATCAGAAGCCACTGGCTGGACTGCTTATTCCCACGGCTCCAAGCTTTCCTCTCTCATCACCGATCACAGAAGAGGTTCCCAGCCCCATCCCCTCGTCGCCGGACGACCACGAATTGTGGCGGAATCGCCCTTTCGCTCTTCTGAACAAAACAATCAGCAAGAATCCTTTCATTCGGAAGGCGACTTTTGATGATCAAATCCAAGGACAGGGTCATACTGGTCGTCTCTCTGGTGCAGGTGATATCGTACAAGGAGTAGTGCATGTGGAGCAAGGAGCTGAGCAGAGCTCAAGCAGAAGTCGCGGATTGAACTTGGTCACAGACTTCTCCAAACCAAGTACGACTGTACAGCACGAGGTGCCAGCACCAGTCTTCGTCGATCTGAACGATCTCAAGGCCCTTTCGCAGGTGCGCGAGCAAGAAAGAACTACGGACGGTACCTCGGGGACTGTGAAGTCGGTAGTGCCAGGGTCATGTGCACCACAGTCTTTCGGGGTTGTCGAGCAGAAGACGATAGGCAAGGACGAGCTGTCGCCTTCTGATAGACATATTATGATCGGGCTTCAAATGCCATTCCATGGATCGAAGGACTCGCCCGATGAAAGGCCAAGGGAAAGAGATCGGATGCGCTTTTCGCATACTCCACTTACACCTTCAATTATTGTGACTCCTGCCAAGGAAGACACATTTTGGGACGGATTCCAGCCGGCTCATCCCCGTCCCAGAGCGACATCCAGCATCTACTCTCAACCTACGCCATACCCCGATTATGACGATCATGATATACCGCCAGTGCCGGCCATCCCAGCCTTTCATGTCCGTGCCGATAATGAGAAGGCCAGCCCAGATTCCCCCTCTATGAAATCTATAATGTCATCAAGAAAACAGCGTGCATTTTCAACCGGAACTATCTTTGAGGAAGACAGTCCCAAAACCATAGGAAGACCAAGCTCGTTCTTAGTTGAGAAGGTGAAAAAGATCCCGGATCGACTGAGCATCAATACCGAAGCTACCCGGCAGTCGCAAGGCTGGTGGACGTACCTCATGTCCCCTCTCTTTCCCAAGACACCAGTCACCCCCGGAAGGCCTCCTGTGCCCAGTATGGCAACCCACTCCTCTGAACTGACGGACGAGTGGTGGGAGAAGGAAGTCTCGTACTTTTCGCCCGATACCCCGGATGCCGTTACAAACCCGCTAGATAACACCAACTCGAGTCCACAAAATCCCAATTCGGTTGAAGCTGAGCGCAATATGACATCCTTTATGTTTCCTGGCGAGCCAATTCAGGGCTCTGCTGCCGAGTATTATCAGGCATGTGCCCACGAACTGTTTAGCGGGCGTCCTTATTTCGAATGTGTTAATCATACTTGTTCGATTACCCCAAAAGACAAGGTTGCGGCGATGATGACTGAGCCACCTGCGGTGATCACTCATGAGAAAGATCTTCTTATTGACGTGGATGATATGCCTGGAACTGAGAAACAACATCCACCTGGACCCTCCGATGTGGACACTGGTCTGCGTTCTGTTGATGGGATCTCCCCTGTGGCTAAAAGCAGACAGAACCCTTTCCGTGATTCCGATGAACACAGCACTCTAAGCGGTCCTACGTTGACTGGGTATCCTCAAAGTGAATATCCTTCCAGCGAGCATCCTTCAAGCAAGGACGCTCTAGGCAAGGATACACCAAGTGAGGTCGCACCTAGCGAGCGCTCTCCGGGTACCCAATCTCTAAAGCAGCAACCTCAAACACAGAGCGCGAAGGAAACCGCCGAAGAGGTGCCATCTGCGCCGGAACATCAAGAAGGGCCAAGGGCAGCACCGGCGGCCGTCGCTGAGGGCCATGTTGAGAGACAGACCCCTTACCCTGTCTACCAGCCAATCATTCAGCCAATAATCCAACCAGCCATACAACCAGCGATGCAACCAGCCAGCCAGCCAGCTCCTGTTGTAGTCCCGCATCCAATTCCCCAGCCAGCGACTGCGGCTCCACCGACAGTGCAGAACTTTTACAAACACCCCGCCGTGGTTCCTTCCGCCGTTCTTATAGCTCCGCCGGAAAGAAGCTATTCGCAGTACATTGTACAGCCTGCATCGAGTCCTGCTCCACAGCCGCAGCCTCCGGAGCCTGTGTCGCCTGCTTTTCAACGGATGACAGAAAGAGGATCAGTACCCTTGAGCGAAGTGCAGGACACACCGGCACCTGCCTATACCTCTTACCACCACAGCTCTGGCATCCTGCCCCCACGCATAGATCCACACCCGCTTACACGGGAGGAGGTGGACTCAACCACGGAAAGACAGAAGATTGAAACGAAAAGACGGAGGCTAGAGAAGGAAGACGCTGTTGGCCGGAAGTTAGGTGGATGCTGGCGTGGCAGAGGCCCGGTTAGCAAGAAAGGCTGTTTTGGCAGGTCGGGACGAGAAGGAAGAGTGAAGCGTCGGTGGTACTTGGCGATCTGCACTTCGTTCCTTATAATCATCTTGCTCGCCCTCATTCTTGCATTGACACTGACCAGGAAGGGAAGTGCAACGCCGGTGCAATCCCAATGGCTGAACCTTACCGGCTATCCCCCCATGCCAACTGGCATTGCGACCATCGCTGGGCCGAATCTTTACAAACGAGTCCCCGGCTGCATTGCTCCATCTTCACTCTGGAGTTGTGCCCTTCCGAAGGAGCAGCAGTTCGGTAACAAGCCGTACACGGCCGATGAGCCAAACTTCCGCGTCGAGATCGAATTCCGCAATGGAACCTATCCGAACAGCACGACGATCGCCTCACGATCATTAGTCTCTGGCCGCTCGTCTGGTACGGATCCCTCACCATCACCACCAAGCATGAAGGACCAAACCTTTCTTGGGAACACCACGGACAAGAATAGCGCCCCCTACACCGGCGAAGAGACGCCATTCTTCATGAGCTTTCTTTCGGCCTCCTCGACATCTTCCTCTTCCTCCACTCGTCGACGACTCACTCGCAAGAGAGATGACGCTTTTCCGGACCTTGACTCCCTCATTCCCTCACCCGACCTGAACTCAGACGGCACTGCCGCGGCCGCCGAGCTCTACCCCCTCTCGGAATCGCAACCCATTCGCCTCTACAATCGTGGGCAAGCCACGGAACACTATGGGTTCTACACCTACTTCGACCGCTCCATCTTCCTTTCTTCACTCGCTCCTCTTAATGGCAGTGGTATAGACGACGATGCGAACGACAGTGACGGCGGCTCAACCGAGGAGCAAGCCCGCGTGCGCTGCACCTGGGCGCAAACGCGCTTTCTTGTGCAGATCTGGACTCGATCAACGGATACATTGTTGAAGCCGTCATCAGTGTCCGCGTCCGCGTCCGCCACCCCGACATCTTCCGCCTCGAGCGCTTCATCCACCTCTACCACCTCCTCCTCGTCCGCAACGGACTTCACCCGACCCGGTTCCTTCCCCTACCCTGTCACCATCACCTTGGACCGGCACGGCGGCGACGCGAAGAAGAAAATGGTGTACTGCTACGCGATGGAGGCGGACGAGAAGGTGAATTCCACGCTGGTAAAGCTGCAGGTTGAGGACCGGAGTTATGGTGGTCAGTTGGTAAATCCGGCGCCGGGAATCTTCGACTTTGCGAGTAATTCGTCTTCCTCTTCGGCTAATGAGACGAGCTCGGTGTATGGCGGGGTCGATGGTGGTACGGGAGGGTGTTCGTGTCAGTGGGTGAATTGGCTTTCGACATCTTGAATGGGATGATAGGGTGAGGTAGACAAAATCTCACTCTGCTACATACTGTATCTGGAACCACTTGGTTTCATAATGAGATGACTCTTACTAGAAGATTAAAAATGAACTACGATTATAATCTACTCTCTTGGGACTTTCTGAATGAGGTTTAACAATGCAGAATATCTGATTTTGTGTGTATCAACTGATGGAATTATTGTAAAGACTGTCCCTCCAAAACGCCTATTTGTCCTGTATTCCCCAGATCAACTCCTTATTTGGCTTTGTTGTTCTTTTCTCACTTTCCCAATCCCCTTCCCAAGAAAAAATAAGGATGATTACCTGCCCAATAGGTCGATACATATGCAAGGCCCTCAAAGTGCAATCAAAAAGGAAAAAGCAAAACAAATCCATTCAAACAAAAGCAGATGAGCCAAAAAATAAAATGACGGCAGACAAAAGTCGACACGTTTTCAAGGCAACAACACCGTTCGTTACCCGCAAACAGGTCTCTATAAAGCAGTTATGCAGCAGTGAGTGAGTGAGTGGTCTTCGACATCCATCCCCGGGGGAACTTTTTCCAGTCTCAACCTAAAACAGCACCATCACCCCGACCACAATGCCCCCGACCAGCGACAGAGCCGAGGCGACCAGCTTCGTGCTCCCGCTCGTGGTAAGACCGTTCGTGGCGCTCGGAGCGGCCGGGGCGGCACCACCACCCTCGCCGCCGCCGCCGCCGCCACCGCCACTGCTGCCACCGCTGCCGCCGTTACCCCCGCCGGAGGTCGCCGAGTGGGTGGCCTTCGGGCTGGTGGTGTTGACGAACCCGGAGCTGGGCGTCGTCGCGGGGACGACGGAGGGGGTCACGATCGCGGGCGGCGCCGTGGTCAGGGGGATGACGGGCACGCTGACCGGCACGGTGGCCGGCACGCTGGAGTTGGCGGGGATGGAGAACGGGGGCACGACGACCGCCGGGACGGTGGTTGCAGTGGGTTCCTCTGTCGCGGCGGGGGTCTCGGCCGTGCTGAGGACGACGGCGGGCGCTTGGGTCGTGGGCTGTTGCTCGGTCTGCACGGGCACCGGGATGGGCTCGGTGGCGCCGGCGGGCGTGGTGGGGATGCTGATGGGGATGGTGGTGGGCGTAGTGTCGGGCTGCGTGGCGTTCTGGCGCGCGTAGATGTTGCCGTGGCGGGCGTGGGCTTGGGCGGTGCCCGCGGCGATGGCCAGGGCCACTGCAAGATGGTTGGAGATGTGCATTGTGGTGTTTCTTTGCCTTGGGGAGGGGAACTTAAACCAGTTTGACTGGGACTGGGACTGGGACTGTTTTGCTTGAAGCAAAGATGATGAGGAAGGATGGACGATGGACGATGATGATGCAAGGATGAGAGAGGTGTGATGGGAGGGGTGATGGAAGGAAGCTTTATAGCTTTTTTTTTCTGTCGATCGAATCCGGTAGCTGGTCCTCGGGACTTTGGCCTGGCTGTTGTTGCTTTCGTTTTGGGGTTGTTTGTTTGATGCTAAACATCCCATCTTGAGTGGTGAAGAAGTCCCTTGTTCGAAGCCAGATTCAACATAACACAGTACTGCATTCGGAGAAGCAAAACAGACGCCGGGTTCGATGCAGAGATGCTCCGAATACTGATGGATCCGGATCAAGTTCCATGGCCTGTCCGCAGTGGTGGATCTTCTCGACTGAAGTCCTTCATGTCGAGAACAGTTGATATCATGTGACTTGGATCCTCGCTCAGCTCAGCCCTATCCTTGCCGAAATGGGAACCCGTTGCCGGAAGCAGGGACCAAGCAGGAATGTTGATCCATTCTTGGACTACTTTTAGACCAGCAAGTACCTTAGTAGTAAGCTTCTGGAGCCCTGGCGGCACTTTGTGGATGATTTGGAAGGTGAGTCAGCTCTCAGGTGCTCCTCAAGACTTCCGCAAGTGATGGTGTGGCGTTCACGGTTGTGTACGCTTTCAACGGGCGCTTAAGAATTCGCCAGCTGAGTCCGGCTGGCCGCGTGTACAGTACAGTTGAGCCCTACATTCAAGAACATTGCTCAGAGGGCTCCCGGGTGTGAAGAATCGTATCGATATTCTAGGTTAGGCTGCGTGTAGACGCTGTGTTGAGTCTTGTGAGTGAAGCTTGATCATGGTTATTTGCGGTTTGCGGAAATACAGCATTTGCCACTTGATCCGGAGAGGTGACGACCATGCTAGTACTGCAATTAGAGTGGAGTTAACTCTTTCTGCCTTGAACTGCTTGTCACAGATTTCATGGGCTACAATCGAGTAGATAGTATAGGGTATGGGGTAGAATCGAGCATCGAAGCTGAAGGGCGATTGAACCGTGGGATGATCCCCTTTTCGGCACCGGCCCGGAGATCGCCCGAACTCCAATTGATCTCCCTATCAATCAACTAACTTATCCACTAAATCATCATTCATTCACTTCTCTTTCCTTTCAACCTGTCCATCCCTGCTTCCCACGCCTGTGTTAACGCGTGTTTCCTTCACATCCGGCCCCATGCCAGCTATTATCCCCCATGTTTTCACGACGTAATAATCGCGACGCTTCCCTTCTTTCCCCCGGCGGCTACGACGAGGATGCCGAGTCGCTACGTTCCCCCTCAGAGCAGGACTCTGACTCCGAAGACGACGAATTCCTCCGCCGATCTCGAACCACTCTAGAACTTGCAGAACACGATCGCACGGTTCTAGACGATGAAGAAGAGACCGAAAAGCTGTTGACCAGAAGCGGTCCGACACATGGCCTCCGCCGCATTTTTAGCCCCAATAGCAGCAGTGTCCGGATCGGGAAGCAGGAACGCAGGCGACAAAGAAGGCAGGCCAGGAAGGATGCGCGCAGAGGGCGTCTTAGAAACTCGCGAGAATCAGCAGAGATGCTGTTCGAGATGGAAGAGGGCCACCCGGACGATGAGAGCTCTCTCTTGAGTTCCTCCTCATCGGACCTGGACCGTCGGCTCAAGGATTACACATCCGCCCCAGTAGGCCACCACAAGGTCCCCCCCGGTGCAGTTGCGTATGATTTCTATTGTTGCTAACCTATCTCGGTTGCAATAGCCACCGCGTGTTTCATGGCGTCGACTCTTGTTGATCTTCTCCACCGTCCTGGTTCTCTTCTTCATACTCCTATTAGGAGCCTACAAGGCATCAACGAAATTTCGAGCCTCACATTCCTCGAAACGTTTCTTATCCAACGGCACCGCTCTTTTTGCGCCAACTACAATCCTCATCTCTCTTGATGGCTTTCGTGCGGACTTTTTGAACCGGGGCTTGACCCCGGCCCTCAGCTCCTTGATCGCGAATGGTGTCTCTCCGCAATACATGCTGCCCAGCTTTCCTAGTGTGACATTCCCGAACCACTTCACCCTCGTGACTGGACTATATCCCGAAAGTCATGGAATCGTTGGAAACACATTCTGGGACCCAGATATGGAGGATGAGTTCTACTACACCCATCCCAGCGTTAGCATGCAGCCTAAATGGTGGAATGCCGAGCCTCTTTGGATGACGGCTGAGAACCAGGGCGTGAAGGCTGCGATTCATATGTGGCCAGGCTCGGAGGCACATATCGGTGGTGTCGAGCCAACATTTCTCGATCGCTACAATGGCTCCGAAGCACTTTCGCGAAAAGTTGACCGCATCCTGGGCCTGTTGGACCTCCCTGGCGTGGAGGACCAGACGCAATCGTCCCGCCCGCAGTTCATTGCTGCTTACGTTCCCAATGTCGACGCTGACGGGCATCTGTACGGGCCCAATAGCACGGAGACGCGGGGCACAATAGCGAAGGTTGACTCCATGCTTGCTAGTCTTCTTACAGGCCTCCAAGATCGCAACTTGACTGAGATCGTCAATGTTGTGATTGTTTCTGACCATGGGATGGCCAGTACTGCCACCGAAAGATTGGTGCAGCTGGAAGACTTGATTGACCTAAGCTTGGTCGCCCGCATTGATGGCTGGCCTTTGCGTGGGCTTCGCCCCAAGCAGCCGGAAGACCTTGCAGTTCTCCAGAATCAGCTCGAGAGCGTGGCATCCAACTTTTCTCATGCGCTGGAAGTTTACACGCGGGAGAACATGCCCAAACGATACCATTTCCAGAACAACGACCGGATTGCACCTCTTTGGGTGATCCCCAAGGCAGGTTGGGCAATTGTTGAACGGCCGGATTTCGATGCTCAACAAGCCCTAGAAAAAGGAGAAATCTATCACCCAAAAGGAATCCATGGGTACGACCATGAACACCCCTTAATGCGGGCGATTTTCATAGCAAGAGGCCCTGCGTTCCCCCATGAACCTAATAGCCGATTGGAAGTCTTCCGTAAGTACTCAATTCGCTTCCGTAGGCTTTGGCCGGTAGCTGACTCATTTAGAAAACATCAATGTCTACAACCTGATCTGTGACTCCCTCGGGGTGACACCACACCCCAACAATGGAACTCTTCGTCTCCCTCTGAGGCCGGTGGGTCTACATTCTGACGAGGATTCGCCGGCCCTCGAGGATCCTTCTGATCCACCATCAGTCACGACCACCGTCGTCGAACTCGTTAAGCCATCGACGACACCAACCACGACCTCGTCCATGATTCTTGCTAGTCCCACGTCCTCAGCTGACATGGCGGTTGATACGCCACCGGAGACTAGCTCACAAAGCGAGGACGAAACGGGTCCGAACTGGTGGGGAACGTTGTGGGAGAAGATAGAAGAGGCCAAGGACTGGGCGACTGATGTGTTTGACACTGTCAAAGATAATTTTGTGACGGGGTCGTCCTAGATGACGATTCTTGTTCATTCATCCATCCATTACATCTTTTCCTTTTCTCATTACATCTATACCGACTTCTCAATCAGTCTTGTTGGGTGTTCTGGGGCCAGTACCACTTACAGCATATATTAATTCGAGATACCCACAATTGATTCTAGAAATATTGAATTTCAACCTTCTGGCAAACGTTGACGATTTCCCGAAATGGGAGCCCGACTGCAGGATGACATCATGTGCAAGACAAAGCGGCTGAGCTGAGCCTCCTTTTTGTCCCTTTGTGGCGATCCTTTCCTTCCACTACACTGATTCTCACTGCAGCCTATTACGCGACACTGTCGGTGACTCAAGCCTCGCTGCAGTCCATCCAGTCACAGCCCTGTCGGCTAGAGTTACACTGATTCATAAACCGTGGTGCAGCAATGTGGTCTGGAACCATTCAGCATCCCCTAGTTCGTGGCAGCCTGACACACTGTCATGCTGCCTGGCTGACTATAAGAGCGAGAAAGCTATAAAGAAGTGGATTTCTTTCAGCAAGGTCTCACTCTTTCTAGCTGCTCTAGGGGCCTTTGTCTCTCTTGTTGAGCGCAGCCTTGTCTGCTGCCTGCGTCCCGGTCAAGCTTGAATACAAAGGTTCTGTACTTTGTTCGGCTTTGGATCCGAGAATTGATCCGATTGTAATACACACTCACAGTTCAAGATTCGTTCCTATAAATCTCTCTCGAGGCCCTCTCAAGCATGCTTGGTTTCTGCAACGAGCCTTCAGCTGCGGCTCCTATACTCGCCACCATGAATTCGACCACTCCAATCTTCAATACCTCCGAAACCGCCATCCTGGAGGGGCTCATCCCCGGGTATGCGTTCATCTCGCGGCTCCTGTTATCATACCTCCACATCGACCTTTCGCTCTACATCCCATACATCTTCACGGCCATTAGTATCTACTTTGCCTCCGACCATGTGTCCCACCATGTTCAGGGCCTGTTCCGGAGCCATCTCATGGCCTCAACTGAGGTCCGCATCTACGACGACGTCTACATTTACCTCATGTTCTGGATTTCGCGCCACCGATGTATGCAGAGCACCAGGCACATCTATGCCAGCACCCAGCTCTCCGTTGATCGGTACTACTACGACTCGGACGACTCGGATGACGAATCCGAAGAGGAGATCGATGAGGAAGAGATCGCAAGGAGCAGTTTTGATGAGTACTGGAACAAGATGATCGTCCGGGACCGCACAAAGCGCTTACGCTTTACACCAGCTCATGGAGTCCATCGCTTCCGGTACAAGAACCGCCTGATCTTCCTCAATCGCGTGCGCGACCGGTCCACCAACTCCTTGTACATGCAGGACAATTCGGAACGCCTGATTATCTCGTGCTTTGGACGGGACACCACGCTCCTTAAGCAGCTGCTCGCGGAGGCGCAGGCGGCGTATGTTGCACGCGACGGTAACAGCACGGTCATCTATCGAGGTCAGAAGGCGAATGGCCGTACCGACTGGATCCGTTGCATGGCGCGTGCGCCGAGGGCACTCTCCACTGTCGTGCTGGACCAGACCCAGAAAGATGAGTTTGTCAATGACATCAAGGAATACCTGCATCCAAGGACTAGAAGATGGTACTCCAACCGCGGGATCCCGTACCGACGCGGCTATCTGCTTCACGGGCCTCCGGGGACCGGCAAGACGAGCTTGAGCTTCGCCGCTGCCGGGGTGTTGGGCGTGCCGCTGTATCTACTGAATCTGAGTTCCAGAAGTCTGGATGAGGATGATCTCATGGGCCTCTTTCACCGACTGCCTCGGCGGTGTATTGTGCTCCTGGAGGATGTCGACTGCGCGGGTATGACGCAGAAACGTGGGCCTGACGACAAGGACAAGGACACCGACACCGACCACGCAGCCTCTGCCCGGAAGCCGAGAGACAAGGCTGAGGGCGGCCCTCCGGAGAAGCAGGGGATCTCGCTATCCGGTCTACTCAATGTCATTGATGGTGTGGCCGCCAGCGAGGGTCGCATTCTCATCATGACTACCAATCATCCCGAGAAGCTGGATGCCGCGCTGCTCCGTCCTGGACGCGTGGATATGAGCATCGGGTTTGGCTATGCGCAGAGCCACGATGTCGAGGAACTCTTTGCGTCTATCTATTCCATGCTGGAGGGTGATTTGCGTTCTGCAAATACGGGAGGTAGTCTTGAAAAGACCCGGCACTCCATGACCAACGGGGTAAAGCCTGTGAATGGGAAGCGATCCCTTGTGATTACTCCGGGGGATATTTCGAACTTGGCGCGACAGTTTGCAGCACAGGTTCCCTCTGGTGAGTTTACTGCTGCAGAGGTTCAGGGATATCTTCTGAACTACAAGAACAACCCTCAGGAGGCGATTGATGGGGTGGAGCAGTGGCTGGAGAGCACGCGCGAGACGCGCGAGATGCGTCTTGAAAAGTTGAACTCGAGCAAGTAAAGCATGTGACTTCATATGCTACAATACAATGCTGTTGATTCGACAAGATCAAGATCTATGAGATAGCCTAACTGGTAGTATTACTCAGTAATGACAATAGATTCTATTATTCCATCGATGATCAAATAAAGTGCGAAATAGTCGCGAGGCAGTCAGCCGAGGAGACTACTCCAGAAAGAGAAACCCGAGAATCAACAAACAACTTTCTCCTCGACTTCCCCTCGACTTCCCCTCGATGTCCACTTCTCCTCGTGACTAAACTTCGCAAATTGTGCACAGTGTCACATCCGACTCTACCCACAGATCATCTCTCCTTATGCTACCCTAATCCACCGCCTGATAACTTTCCATTTGCCGATCCCGATCGAAAGCGGCCGCGATCGACACACGACTTGCGGATATTTCCCCGCAACTCCCCCCAAATTCCTGAAATGCGGGGGACATATTACTGAGTCCTCAGTATCCATTCACCCGGGTACGCACATGGAGATTCCGGATTGGAAGAGCTTATCTCACACGACTCCATCGTCTGTCCATTCACCTGATGCGGCAAAACAACACGGGATTTTCCCGTTGCATGGTCAACATAAGCCGATCGTCCACTCAAAGGAGGAAAAGCACACTCCGATATGCCGGATGACCGTTTCCATAACTTCGAAGACCATCCAGAAAGGCGGAAGCTGTTGGGCGGCGCTCAGGTGATAAGGCATGGCGATAAGGCAAGGGACAACACACAGATCAAGGGTCTACCACCAGCATCGCGGGATCTGACGTCGACGATGCAGGAAAGAAGGTTGTCATGCAGCGTGAGTCAGCGGACTTGCGGTGTCCTTGAGGCTCTGGCTTGTCCAGAATAAATTCGAATGATGTTGGTTGTTTGCTGGAAGGACGTAAGGTGAAGCAAGCGACTGACTGCCCGAAATCTTGGCCGAGGAATGGTTTGAGGGTGGACTTTGCCTCTTGACCAAGTCACTTTTTTTGCGCTGCCAAGTCTTTTGGACCATCATTCAGAGGTACCCGTCCACACTCCACAGGGCAACAGCATCTAGATGGGCGCATCTTGGCTGGCGGACCCGACGGTGTTAATTGCTGTTGGGCTTTGGAACCCGGCGGTGGTGGTGCACGAGTCAGGCACGAAATGCTGAAGCGGCGGCAGTGGCTGACTTTCCAAGCACTGCGCCTTGCGGCCTATCAGATACAAGACATTGTATGCACGGCACCGTGAATGTGAACCCAGTCCAGTCCAGCAATCATACTAGTTTCCTTTTGAACTTGCAAGATTGAAATCGTTGTGTCGATGCACCTCCAGTGTATTCAGCACACACACACACATATGTTGGAGTGGTATGATCAACTTCCGTCCTACCCCTTGGTGGCTGTCCTTGCATTTTCACTCACCCCTCTCTTCCCTTCGATTTATGCTTTCTTATGGCTTTGCAAGAAGGTTCATACTGTGAGTCTAATTCATCAACTCCCCTCTAGTTGTGATCTAGTATCACGCTTGCGGGAATCATGGGGCTAAGTTGGCACTAACTAAGGTTACAAAGATGTGCTTCCTGTTTCCTTCCTGTTTTCGGGAATTTCCATACCCCAACCAACATCCGTGCTTTGTTTCTGGTCCGCTCGCCCAGACTGACAAGTCGTTGATGAAACATCAATTACTCACCCCAGTGGCCGACTGCAGGTCGTGCGCACCGTTTGCTGTCGGTTCGAAAGGGCAGCCTTGCGGCAGTTGCACGGCGATCCTCTCGACCTACCAGCCGCCAGTCCAGTCATAATCGATCGATCGATTTCTTGATCAATCATGCTGCGCTACTCTGCTCAAGCTCGGTCACTAGACCTGTGGCCCGGTGAGGAGGAGGTCCCCGCAGCGAGATAACTGTTGCTCCTAGACTGGGGCCATGTGTTGCATCCTGACCGGGACCAAGAAACCCAATCCTGCTTGGTTCTTGAGACGCCCGGTCAACTGATTGATGAATTAGCTCATTATAGCTCAGACCAGTATAGCCAACTAGAAGTCGTCAATTCAATGGATGACCCGCCTCTTTACTGAGGAATTTCTGCTCGTCTCCGATATAAAACGGCCCGGTCCAGTCATTTCCGGTGGTGTGCATTGTCCTCCTGGCGACTGGCCTGCACTTGCATTTTTTTATACTGACTGTGTTTATAATCAATCCCCAATGCGGCTTATTCAGGGCGGCCGTTGGCCTTTGAGGCTTCTGCTGGCAGCAACAGCGCCGGTACTGGGCTCTCCTATCGCGCCTCGATCCGCAGGCCCTTGGCTTGCCATTGATTCCGACTTCCCCGACCCCGGCTTTGTTCAAGGTGATGACGGGGCATGGTACGCGTTTGGCACCAACGGCAACGGCAGGACCGTCCAGGTGGCCACATCCCCTGACTTCGAGTCTTGGACTCTGCTGGATAAGGAGGCCATGCCCACCCTGGCTGGCTGGGAGACAGCCGTGGACCACTGGGCTCCAGATGTAGTACAGCGGGTATGGTCCAGGCGTTTCTTTGTTAGCAAGCCAAAGCTGTTTTCAGGGGGGAGGGCAGTAGATGATCAGCCAGGGCCCTTTTTACCTTCTACACTCTTTTGGCCATCGAGCTGACCAAGGAAACCTAATCAGAACGACGGCAAATTCGTCCTCTACTACTCAGGCGAAGCCAAAGACGACCTCCGCCACCATTGCGTCGGCGTCGCCGTCTCCGAAACCACCGACCCGACGGGGCCCTACATCCCCAACTCCACCCCGTTGTCCTGCCGACTGGACCAGGGCGGCTCCATCGACCCCTCGGGCTTCCTCGACCGCGACGGCAGCCGCTACGTGGTGTTCAAGGTGGACGGCAACAGCATCGGCAACGGCGGCGACTGCAACAACGGGATCGCACCGCTCAAGCCCACACCAATCCTGCTGCAGAAGGTCGCCGACGACGGGTTCACGCCCGTCGGCGACGCGGTGCAGATCCTCGACCGTGACGACAGCGACGGGCCCTTGGTCGAGGCCCCCAACCTGATCCTGCACGGCGACACGTACTTCCTGTTCTACTCGACGCACTGCTACACGGACCCCAAGTACGATGTGCGCTGGGCTACGAGCAAGTCGATCACGGGCCCGTACACCAAGTCCGGCCGGCAGCTGTTCGCCTCGGGCCAGTGGAATCTGACGTCGCCGGGGGGTGGCACGGTGTGTGGGTGCGGGGATCGCATGCTGTTTCATGGGTTCTGTGGGGGGGATAGGCGGTGTACGTATGCGGCGAGGTTGGAGATTCAAGGGGAGGATGTGACTGTGTTGTAGGATGTGGATGTGGGCTTCTTGTGGGCGTGTTTGGAGTTGTATAGTGTTTATACTGTTGATAGCGAATACACATAGCGGATTATATACTGTACTGGTACAGTCAGCGCAGCAGCAGTAGCAGTATAGGTCCATTCCTATTACTTGTAGAAGAGAGCGATCCCGGGGGTTCCCCCCGTACCCCCATCTTTCTTCCCAGTAGCAGTTGAGTATAAATTACACCATATACCAGGGAAAAGCCCAACCCAACACCTAGGTTCCAAATTCATAGCCTCATAAACTCATACCTTCATAACTCCCAAATACCAACAACGCCAACCACACCCAAACCACCATATACAGATATACAAAGTATACAAATCACCGTACCCGGGGGTCCCCCCCGGACCCCCGTCTTTTTTTTTTCTCATCAAGAAACCAAGCTACGAAACCCCCAAAGCCCAATCCTCAAAAGCCACCACCCCCTCGCGGCCCTCCAACACAGGCACAAACCCCGACACCCGACTATACGCCCCCACCAACTCGCGCCAGTAACACGCCTCCGCCGCGGGCGTCAGATACCGATCGCGGAACGTCCGCACCGCCTCGTCGGCAATCCGCTCCGCCACCTCTGGATGATCGATCAACCACCGCATCTTCGCGTCCAAGTCCGCCCACCCCTCCTCCTCGACCACGACATAGTTCGCCTCCGGGTGCGGCGCCGCCACCAGCGCGGCATGGTGCGCCTCCCGCCACGACAGCGGATGCGAGAGCACCACCGACCTGCAGTTGAGGAGGTACTTGCCACGCCCGGAGAAGCTGCGCCCCTCCGTGTGCGCCAGGAACATGTAGCCGCAGTGTTCGTGCATCGGGAGGAAGGCCTCCGGCATACCCTTACCTGAACCTGAACCTGAACCTGAACCGGCGGACGCATCACCGGAAGCAGAATCCCAGTCCAGAGTATGCACGCTGGACCAGCTCTTCCCCTGCGCGGCTTTCAGGAGCGTCCCCCGCACAGCGGGGTTGGTGGCCGTGCTGCCGCGCCAGAGGAGCTGTTTGCGCTTCTGCGCGAAGGAGGGGAGGGTCGCTTCGAGGGCGGCGATGCGCGCGCGCAGCGCGCCGTACGGCCCCACGCCCACCTCCGGCCACGACCAGTACCCGAAGTCGGGCATCAGCCAGGTGTGTCGGTGGTGCGGGAGCTTGGTGTACGACCAGATTGGCGGCCCGCCGGCGGTGGTGGGGGGCGGGAGGTAGAAGTCTTCGGTGGTGAGGATGAATTCGAGGGGTGGGAGGGGGTCCGGCGAGGCGGCGAGGGCGCGGTGCAGCGCGTGTAGCGTTGCTTTGGCGCGGCTGAAGGTGGCGGGTTGCGGGGTGTAGGTGATTATGTAGAGCTTTTTGTAAGGGGGTGGTGAGGTTAGGCTGGGTTGGTATTTAGGTGTGGGGGGGGGGGGGGGGTTGACACAAGGAAAAGGGCAAAACCTACCTGTCCATCCGCAATCATCCCCCGCACCATCCCATCCGCCATCTCGATCTGATCCAACTCCTCAGAGCGGATCGGGTTCTGCGCGCGCGTCGCCGTCGAGTTGTCGATCTCCACGAACAGCTTGGGGAACGCCGCGCGGCATTGCCGCGCCGTGAGCCCGTAGTTGTTGCCGTCGCGCGCCGCCTCGAATTCCCAGGCGGTGGTGGTGTTGCTACTCGTAGAAAGTTCCGCGGGCGGCGGGGCACATCCCCCGGTCTGCAGAGATGTCTTCAGCGCATATCTGGCGACCGAGGTGGAGTACTGCGTGCCGAAGATAAGAAATGTCGTGATGATCAGCGAGAGGACGGCGGCGGTGGCGAGGAGGTGCGCTTTTGATATGGTGTACATCCTCGATTCTGGTCGTGGGCGAGGCGCATTCCTCTTGGAAAGCGTCCTCTGCAAGATCTCGCGCTGTGGTGTAAGGTTGATGTGTGATAGATGTCAGTTGAGTCGATGCGATAAGCTCAATGTTGATAGCGCAGATCCCCCATGATGCAATGGGGGTTGTCATGGCAACCTTTCATTTACTTGTGCTCATACTACGTTCGAGTATGCATCAAGTCTGCTCTCCACGCCAGATCTAGGCTTAATACCATAATCGACTTACTACGTATATAACCACTACCAGTACGTACTGCCAACTACACAACCCAAAACGAGGCCAGGAGGCGGTTGCTTCTATGTCGAAATAGTCTCAAGATGTATGTACATGGAGATCACAGGCGCCATCGGGGCAAAGTATTCAGGGGTATCTCAAAATCAATCAGGAAGGGTTGTCACGAGTCTAACGAAAGATGAACACCAGGCCTGCCAATCACTCAAAATGAGAAAGAAAAAGAGACGCAATGCATTACAAAATTGGAGGGGTGGGGACAGCACGATCAAGAACCATTCGTCATCGCCCGCGCCCCAGCGTTGCTGAAGTAGCTTTCATCGATCTTCAAGATCCACTCCACCTTCTGAGCTTCCGTCCGGGCCGCGAACAGAAACGTGTTCTGCGACCCATACACCGCAAACACATGGCGGCCCCTCGACGCCCCACGGTCAGCCGTCGCTCCTGGCCCGTCGAGAAGCCGTGCAAAATCAGGGGAATGATCGACTCGCGAGTTGCGCAGGTTGATGGCATTGATCTCGTCCCCGTCGGGGACGGAATGAACATGCAGGTAAGGTCGGCGAAGCTCAACAAATCGCCGCACCCAGTGGCTGTTGGTATCATCCGGGGTAAGTAGGTATCCAGACTTGAGTGAAGATGGATTCTTCGGGAGAGTCTGGATGGTGGCCACAAATCGCGGCTTCAGGGATGCCTCGTCGGAGGTGGAGCTCAAGTTCTCGTCGTCGCTGGACGAAGGCTGCCGGATCCGAGAAGAAAAAGCCGCCCCGCCTGCAGGAGGCTCGGTGTTGCTCCGAACAAGGATTGCTTCTATCGGATCGGTCCTCTTCGCCCAAAGATCGATGTATTTCTGGAGCAGTTTCGCATCGCGGTCCGCGCCTTGCTGGCTCCGAAGAGGGGTCGAGCGTCCACTGCGCATAGGCGACGCCACCAAGCTGTTGGCACTGAGAGCTCCTTTCGCAGCATACAACTCGGCGATGCGTCGCCGCCGTTTGCGCGCAGCAACATAGTCCCGCACGAGCGACACCTTGCGTGGGGACCACGTAGTCAGATACTCCTCGCCTTTGACGTAATCATTCTGCGTGTTCATGCGCCACAGGTCTGCCGCCCGCTTGGCAGACACCGGCCGAACCACCAAGGAAAACATGCGAACAGTCGAGTGCACAATACGCGTGGAGTTGAAGAATTGCTTGAACATGGATTGCGGCCGGACATAGGTTCGACCCTGGATCTGGAGAGTCAAGTCAATCTCGAAGGGCACTGGGTCCTGCAAGCGTGAAGATATCAGGTCCCACCTCAGGGTCACCTGGACGCGGTACTTATCCGCAGTGACCCGATCAAGAAGCAGAGACCCGTGCAAACTGGAGTCCCATTGGCCTATGATGGTGATATTAGAAGTTCCGTCTGCATTCTCTTTCACACCAGGCTCTTGAATGAATTTCAGTGGAACGTCGGGGGTTTGCAGGTCTTGATCCGGGATTTTGCCCCAAGGGTCCAGCAGT